GGTGGCAACCATAGACAAATTACTTTTTTGGACAGATCTAGTGGGATATTTTAAAAAGACCTAACCTTCTGGAAATGTCAGTACCTCTCCTTTGGTGGGCACCTCACACTTTTGAACTCTGTGCTGTCTAGTTTACTGGTCTTCTTCATGTCTTGTTACCTTGTGCCTCAAGGTATTATTGGAACCCTTGATAAAATTAGGAGAAACTTTTTTATGGGTTTGGGGGGGGGGGGAGTGACGACAAAAAAATCTATTTGTTGGATTAGCTAGAATAACATTTGCAAAAGTAAAGATAGTGGAGGGTTAGGAGTGAGGGACCTAAGATTATTCAATCTAGTGCTTTTGGGAAAATGGTGGGGTAGAATTGCTAAGGGTGAAAAAGGAATGTGGAGCAAGGTATTGAGATGTACATATGGGAGAATAGGCATCAACTAGGAGGATAGGTTTACTGAGGGGGCTGAAAGGGGCTCATTTTGGTGGGGGGACCTATGTAGGATTGCCAAATTGAAGAAGTTAATTCTAAATGGTTGGAAGAGAGCTTTAGGCTTAAACTTGGAGAAGGTGAGGATATTAGGTTTTGGTTAGATAATTGGGTGGGCAACAAGGTTCTTGCTAATGCTTTTCCAAAGTTGTTTTTGTTATTCATAGGGAAGCACCTCATAGTAATATAGATTGGGGTGTGGGAAAATGAAGGTTGGTGATGGAATCTAAAATGGCGTAGGACCTTGCTTGATAGAGAAAAGGAGCAAGTGGATGCTTTAATGTCACAACCAAATCAAGCAACCCCAATCCAATGTAGGAAAGACACTTGGGAATGGCAACATAGCAAAGATGGCAATTACAGCTCAAGTATTGCCTATTATATTCTCATAGAATCTAATGCCTCCAATCACTTTGATATCTTCAAAAGAGCTAGGAACACCATCATCTCGACCAAGGTTTGTGCTCTCACATGGAAATTGATTCTAGATAGAGTGCCAACCAAGTGGAACTTGCTCAAAAGAGGAATTATCAAGGAAACCACTGACACTATTTGCTTTCTATGTCAAGATGGAATTGAAGACTCCAACCATCTTTTTTAGCACTATAATGTAGCTCATAGATTATGGTCCAAATGCCTTCAATGGTAGCAGTTGGAGAATGTTCAACCTCATAGCTGTTGGGATGCCTTTACCAACCACGAAGGACTAATTGCTTCTTCTAAAGTTGGACAAGGTTGGGAATCAATTTGGTTTTCCTTAACATGGACTTTATGGTTGGCAAGGAATGAATCATTATTTAGACAAAAACCCCCTGATGAGGATAAACTTTTCGACATGGTCTAGTCTTGTTCCTACCAATGGCTCCGACTCAAGTGATTGTAGGGGACTCTCTTTTTCAGATTGGTTGCAGGAACCTATGCTAAGCATAAGATCCTCAAAAGGCAAGAGGAAATGTAATCTTCCATAGTAGAAATATGTAGTGTTTTCCTTTAATTGTATTTTGACTCTGATTGTACATGGGTAGAAGTACCCCTTGTACTCCATTTTAATAAATTGTTGTTCAAAAAGAAAAAAAGATAGTAGATAAATTTGAAAATATCTAAAGATATAGTAGATGAAATAGAGAAAAATATAAAAGTTACTAGATTGTTTATTCAATTAAGCCATAACAATTTACTAGCTTGCTTTTATTTTACTTGTCACATTTTTACCTTTTTGATTATGGATTAGAGTACTCACTATATTTACTTGATTAATAATGAAATTTTTATTTGTTGGCTAATAGAAAAACTTGTCACACTTTTGGTTGAACTAATTATAGAGAAAATTACCAAGATTCATAAAAATATAATTATTACTTATTAAAATTTCATATTGATCCTATAATAAATTTTCTTTGATTTGCTTATCAAAAAAAAAAAATTTCATATTGATCCTTATTAATAAGAGAGGTTGGGAAGTTTAGGATGTGGTTTTTTTGAAAATGGAGTAATTATTTGTAGGGCGAAATTGAATAAAAAAAAAAAAAGAGCTTAATGCTATGTTTTTTTTTTTAAAAAAAATTCACAAGTAAATTCGTTCCTAAGTGGTAAAATTTAATATATGGTAGGACCCTACCCGTCCTCTATAAAATTTTACGACCAAAACACAAAACAGAAATGCATTATATCAAGTCCGTCTAGCTGCCAAATACATTAAAGACATGTTTAGGGCCAATTATACTAGGAAAATGGTTGAGAAAATATTGTATGGAAAGTTGGTAAATTTTATAATGAAATTTGTTAGAATTTTATTAGATTGTTAATTTTTTCTGTTCGATAAAAAATTAACACAAAAAAAATTGGTAGAAAATTTATCAAAGGAGTCTTAGAGGTTAGTAAAAATTATGTGAGTGAGTCTTATATAAGAGAAGTTGAGAACAAATTTTTTCTTTTCAAAATATATAAGAAGAAAAATTTACTAATTGAAAATAGTGTTAGAAAAAATAAAAATTAAAAATACCACTTTTATTTTTTTATTACAATATTAATGTGTGACAATATATAAATAACTCTAGATAATCTAGGTAGAGAAAAATTGTACGAGAACTTTACTCCTAACCAAACGCCACCTAAGGAATTTACTTGTAGAGAGAGCTGCCCACCTTTCTCCTTCTACAACCTTTTCAAGATTGAAACGTTTTTGCATAGAATTGGAGTAACAGCAGAACTTCAATTCTTTTGTTGCAAACCTTTCTAAAACTTATTGTCAAAACTTATTGTCCATATTTCTTCTGAAAAATAAAAATTCCAGTAGCAGAATGTAGGACCATTATACATTAAAAAAAAAAAAAACGCAAGGCATCGTTTCCAAGATCTGTCATATCAAATTCTATTATTTCTAGCGTAAATTAAATCATCTACATATAATGCAAGCATACTACAGGTGCTTTCCCTCCGCTAACCACATGGAAGAGCAAGTGGCAAAAGCCACTTTACTCCAGGTCTCCAGTGAATTGGCGCCAGGGAGTGGCGCTCGACGTTCGAGCCCAGCCCACACTTGTAATCTCATCTCCCCTCGCTCCCCCTCCTCCACAATTACTATAATTCAAAAAAATTCAGTACTTTCCTTCTATCTCCAGAGCCTTTTTCTTTCTTTCTTTCTTTTTTTTTTTTTTTTGGGTTTGCATGTAAGGAGTATGCACCTCAACCTCAAGGAAACATTTGAAAACCTTAAACAAATAAGCATTTATACCAAGTTCTAAGTGCTTTTTATAGTCCGCAGAAAGCTTTTTCAAGTTTATAAATTTATGCTCAATACAAGAGTTCACATAGCCAGAAGTTCGTAATACAACAAATAATGTTTTTTAAACTCCATGTTGAAATGTTGATTTCACATCCAATTAGAAGATAGGTTATATAAATTTTAAGTTGCTAATTAATGCAACGATCAACATGATATGATCTTTTTTTTTTTTTTTAACCGAACTACAAAACTCTTGGTTTTAACCTTCCGTTACTAAGCATGCTTGGAATTTGTTGACTTTTCTATTTTAATTTGACACGAATTGTTTTCTACCCTTTTTGAGGATCAACTCCTATGATTTTTCTTTCCAATGGATTTGATTTCTCTTTTATTATTATTATTATTTATTTATTTATTTATGCTATCAACAATATAAAATCTATTACTAAATTTCAAGCGGGCACACAAACATATTACTATCTTGGTACTAATTAGCTTAGAATTGACAAGAACAGCTCTAGCTCTAGCACATCGGTCAAAACACAACCTCCTCTCAACCAAAGGAACTCCTACCTAGACCCTTGAGTGCATAACTAAGGATTTTTACACCAATTACCATATGAGAACACTGCACCAAATTCTCTACAGAAAGCTCTTCTTCTCCAAAAGATAAAATTCCTGAACAAATCCTGCTACTCGACAGTCCCACCTCTTCTATACAACAGTTCCTGGACAATGATAATAGTCGAGGGAAACATTTTCTTTAAAGGCACTGACGACCCAAACATCATTCCCTAATTTAATTTTTCTCCCAATCCCCAATCTTCCACTCAAAACCCTCTCTAATTACTTCCTTTGTTTTCTCAGTGCTCAAACCTTTCTACTGCTTTTTTTATTTTTTGTCCACAGGGCTATCATCACCAAATCTATGATATCCCACCATTTTCCAAGTAATGCTAAGTTTCTATGGAACACAAATTTGGGACCCCTAACCTCTTCTTTTTTTTTTTTTTTTTCTCAAGACAAAATCCAATCCCATTTAACCCAATAGATTGTATTCAATCTGACAACTCCCCCGAAAGAACATTCTTTAAATTTTGATAAATTCACTCAACACTCCTTTCAAGACCTTAAAAATTGAGAAATAATATAAAGGAAAATTAGTAGCAAGCAAGGCATTAAGTTTTCCAAGATGCCCGTTTAGATATGAATTTATCCACAATGTGCTTCCTCATTTTGAATCTCCAAGGAATATCCTCAACTGGCATTCAAAGTTACAAGAACGGTAATGATCTGGCTTTGCACTTCAGAATCAAAGCTGCTTAGTGATCTGGCTTTGCAATGAGGAGGGATTGAGTTATTGAGCACTATGCTTTTTGTAAATTGGACCGTATTGTGATAGATTGAAATACCCTTTTTTCCTTCCTCGGAAAAGCTTTTTCTTCACTGATTAAAAAAAATAATAATAAAACAAAACAGAAAGAGAAATCTAATGATGTCGAACTTAACCTAACTCGAACTTAATTAATTCTAACTTGTTAGAGTCATTGGTTCTGTAGTAATGTAACCTTAATTTGTGATATGTAAAGAAATTAAACATATTAGCAATGATTTGATGATGCACCAAAAAAGAAGAAAAGCTAATAAGTAATTACGTACGAAACTTTATATTACACCAAATTTAATTTCAAGGTTTCATGCATATATATATATATGCACTAATCTCTTAGATTTTAGAGATTAGATTTCTGTAAATTATATAACTTTGAAGGTGGCTAAGATAGAAACAAAAATTAACAAAATTAAGAGGGGAATTAGGGAACAAAAATGAAGCAAACTTAAAATACAACTAGTAAAAGATTTTGTCTTGCTTATATTGTTTGCACTATCTCCACACCACTTGCTGGTCTATAGAGGAATATCTCCCAGTACATTTTGCAGCTTTATTTCCTGTTTATGTTGGTCTTGCAACCTGAAATCAGAATTTCTATAATGTGAGTAATAAGCTCTTTTTTTTTTCCTTTTTTTTTTTTTTCTAGATTCCTTGAACCAAAATTAGAGCAAATTAATCACCTTAATCAGTCCTAGGATAAAGACAGAGAGACATTAAAAACTACATTAGTGAGTTTAAAATTGGGTTTAGAAACCCTAATTGGTCCTAAATTAAAAAGTACACATGTTAGTGGAACACTTAAGGATTAACTGTAATCTACAGTTTTCTAACTTTTGGAATCTGCAAAGTACTGTCAAAATGAATTCACCATCTTTGTTGATTATAATTTTATTACTTGCATAAGAAAGAGAGTCCTCATGGAATTCTAAAAATTCCCTCTTAGGCACCCAGATTAAGCAAAAAATTCAGTACGATGTCCTTGATAGAACTGATCATTTATACAATCTATGATTAATTACTTTTTTTAATCACTCTAGCAAATGATAATAAATTGGAATAAAACAGTCTGTAAAAGTACAAGAAGCCGACCCACATTCTTTATTTTATTTTGTCGAAGAAGAATGTGAGAAAAATCTCTGAGAGACAAAAAGAGAGGTTGGATGAGGGAATTAATTATCTTCAAGATAGACTTACCAGGAAATAGCTTTCCCCATGTTGTAAGCTCTGCATTACATACCCAAATTCATTCATTGGCACCGGAACACCTGAGGAATGGACCAAAATTGCATCTTGTCCAAACATTGCTCTTATGTCCAGTGGTCCTCTGGGAACTTCAGTTGCCACTCCATTAATAAAAACTGTAATGAACCCTGTACGTAAAAAAGAAAAAAAGAAAAAGAAAAAATATATATATTTTAGTTAAATAGAGAAGAAAGCCTGATGATCTCAAAACAAGCAAAAGAAGAGAATCTTTTAAGAGAAAATTCAGGAGAAAGTTGTATATTTCAAATTGCTTCAGGTGTTTCAATCATTAGTCTTCTCCTGGAAAAAGTTTTCTCATAATAATTTCTTTGTCAGGATTTAAGAAGATCAAAAATAAAAAGAAGAAGAGATATGGTCCGTATTTTGTAATGAGAAGGTTTGATATTATAATAGGGGTTCAGAGTGTTCCTTATACATGTTTTGAATAAAAACTTTGAACTGCTGATAGAAAACTGAAAAAAAGAAGATATCGCAAAACTGATTACAGCTTGAAACTTCTAACTTAGAAGTTTCGAGTTAAAAGTTTGGGACAAGGAGAGATTTGGGAAAGAGAAGCTTAAATGTAAAAGATAACCATTAAGCTTTATTCTCAGGTACCTTCAGTCTCAAAATACCTACCTAACTTTTGAAAAGGCCACAATAAGATGTAAAAGAAAAAGAAAAAAAAAAAAACTTTATCCCCTGTAATTCACTCTTAGCTAGAATGTCTACCTAACTTTTGAAAACTCCAATTTTAAAAAGGATAATTAATTTGAAGAAACAGTTTGATATTTGATAAAGAGACTAATAATATTCGGCCAGAAAAAAAAGAAACTAATAATAAGTAAAAGAAGTAATTAAATTTGCCATGCATTACCAGATTGGTAGTGCAAATTTGAAGATTCTGAAGGGCAGAAAATCGACGAGCTCTGATCGATTTCTTGAAACCCCATTTGATCTGCAAAAAAATTCCCGACTCCATCTTCGCTGATACCTCCACAGGAAGAAGAAGAACCAACGAAATAGGAAGCGTGAGAGGAAGGAAACGAAGGTGAAGCAGCGGTGGCCGCCGCTGCATATGCAATGGCAGCGGCAGTATTGTTGTCATACTGAATTGCACCGCCAGTTTGCGCTTGAAAGTTGTTGTTACTAACATTATTCCTCTGTTCTCCAGCGAGACTAGCCTGCAGCTGGCGTTGGCGGCGGCGGGATCTCGAGCGGCGGTTTTGGAACCAGTAGAAGACGTTGGCGTCGCCTACGGTACCGAATTTCTCAAGCAGCTTTCTTATTCTGACTGTCTCGTCTTTCGGCGGATTGACCATTCCGCTGTTGAAGATGGACTCTAGGATGAGGATTTGCTCTGGCTTGGGCGTCCACCGGGACCGGACCGGCTCGCTTCTGTCAGAACCTTGGCCGGGATTACTAGTGTTAGGGTCCGGAGCTGCTTGCTCTTCCATTTCTGTCTAGAAATGAAAGTGAAGGGAAAAAGAAATGATATTTGAAGAGTACTGAAACCTAGGCTTAAAAGTTTAAAAAGGAAAAAAAATATCTGAGAAAAATTAAATTAAGGCACAGTGTCTAGAATGCATTAGATTAGAGGTCGAAGAGGAGGTGGGTGAATTTATATAGAGGAGCTGGAAGGAATGTTATTCGGTGATTGTACGAAATTGCCCTTTTGTTGTTTCCACTAAATCTAGCTAGGGAAATTACAATCTTGCCAAATTGAGATCTTCCCCTGTACATGTTATGGATGGATTCAACCGACTCATCTTTTCTAGTCTTTCTTTGGTTTAGGGTTTTTTTTTTCCCTAACCTTCAAATCAATTCCTTCTCCTTTGGCTCATCACTTTAGCCATGGTGAATTCAATGTACATCTTCAATACATAAGGGATAAAGTAGTGTATACTGATATTATCTGACTTTTGTGAATTTTAAAACTATAATCATGACAATAGAGCAAATGTTAGAGGCATGCTAGAGATGGCTTCATAGAGACTCTGTTGCATAAGTCAATGTTTTTGCAGTCATGAATGTAGAAAAAAGAAGAGGTTTGAACAAGTAGAATATCAATTACACGGTGCAAGAGAGATAATTTCTCTTTTTATAGGTCTAGCTAAAGCTCATGTTCCTTTCTTATGCAAACCTACCATGTATGGTTTTAACCTATAATTTTATCTATTTTAGGTTTGATGAAATTGGTTAAGAGCTCAATAGTCGGGCGTAGGATAATCAATGTCCCTAAATGGTCCTTGACTTGCACAAATGCATGGAGAGGACACGACTCGTACATGTTTGTTGAACCATTCATGGTGCTTGCTAGGACCTGTTATTTGGCCCTTAATCAATTAGGCTTGTGACATGTCCAATTATACAAACAAGGCAAACCCTTCCAGTGTATACCTAGTTTAGAACATGTTTGGTGCTTATTAGACAACTCAACAACAGACCACGCATTAGCAATTAAGAATTGCCATGTGTAATTGGTAATTTTACCGAATATTACATAGGGTTGAAATGTTAATTGCACTATTCTTTTATTCCTACTTGCTAGCTAGCCAGTACGTACTTAACATGTTTCCTATTTTATTCATAATAAAGACTTACATTGAGGAAAAAGATGTTTACACAATAAAAAGAAAAAAAGGTTGCAGAAATTAGTGGTCAAAATGGTAAAAAAAGGGGGGCGGTTAAGGAGGAAAAAGGGTGTGAAAAAACAAAACTAGGGTTTTCGTCTCGGGCAAGTGCATGTGAAGGAATGCATGGAAAGCTGGGTCGCTGTAAAGGAAGAGACACATTTTCCTTTTCTTTAAGTCCTGTTTGTTTGTTTTTTATTATAAATGCAAAAATTCATTAAACAAAGAGAAACAATCCAAAGTGACGGTCAAGAAACCGTGCAATTATTTAATAGCCGTGACGTTAGGCAAACATGGCTTACAGTGGCACCTCTCAACTTTTTTATATTAAACGAGAGGATGGAAAGCCCCCTCCAAGGTTGGCTTAAATTTCGAACACTTTTATTTCTCTTTCTCCTGTATCTGTACATGTACATAAATAAATAAAAAGATTTTGTAGAATTTATTTATTTATTTATTTTTTTTTTGAAAATAGGCAAATGGATTTTGCAGAATTTATTTGTATTTTCAGAGGAACAAAACAGGAACCGACTCTGATCTGTGATTTCAGATGCGGTTTTCTGTCTCTCTGTTCTATATATTTCCTAGGATTCTATGTGGTTTTCTGATGTTACATATGCTATTGTTTGATGAAATGCCGAAGTGAAGGTTTGGTTTGATTTTTCAAATTATTGGTTATAATTTGCGTTTTCATTGTGCTAAAATTTAAGAGAAAAAGGATAGACAAGAAGATTACAAATCCACATGGAGAAGATTTTTTTCATTATGCTTTTCATTTCTATTGCAAAATAATGGTTTTTGGTATGATGCATGCACATATACTCTTGTTATTTAAAATAATGGTTTATGCACACTTATTAAAATTTAATTCATCATTAATGACGTCTTGGCACTTTGCATGGTGGTAAAATGTTTGTAGCACATGTGCAAGTTTAACCCAACTTTCCCTTAATTTATAATTTAATTTAGTAATTGATTTTTCTTGAGTATTCATATGTTGGTAGAGAAAATCTCATATCCAAGTGAAGAGTGAAATGTAAGTGATTTATATACGTGAAAACTCATGAACCTAACAGGCAAATCTTTTGAATTCAAGATGATGTTTTTACATGTTGAACTCATTTGAGTTTTGCTATTGACTCTATTGCTTAACCCAACAATGTGAGTGGTGCCCTAAACTCCTCAATAGTGGTAAGTAGTAAGTAGTAAGTGTCTCCACTCTTCCTAGGTGTTGAGAGGAGGACAATTTCTCCATCTAATCGGAGTTTCTAGATAATTGTGTACCTCAAGTAAGTGTAAGGGTATCCTCCCTACACCCACGAAGGTGCAATGGCATAAGATATTGAAGATTCACAAGTGAACAAGGGAGATTGTTAAGCATTCACATGTGAATAGAGAGAATCCCTTCACAATTTTTTAGATAATAATGCATACTTCAATTTTTTTTTTTTTTTTTTTTTCTTAATGGTGCAAAGCCCATGTGCTCTCTCTCCTAAGGCTAGGATTTGCTCTCTCTCCTAAGGCTAGGATTTGGGGTTGACGGTTTCTACCTTTAGGATTTCTCCCTTTAAAAGAGTTGCAACTTTTTTTTTTCAATTCATCCTTCCATAATCTATCATTTTATTTTTATTTTTATCTTTTCTTTTGCTTTTCAATTCATCTTCTCTATCAAAAAAAAAAAAAAAATTCTAGGGCAAGCAACATCTTTGATGATAATTAGTAGTGGTTCCAATGCTATGTTGGTTTGTTGTCTTTGATTTCTTTTGTTAATTGCAGTATTGATTCAAGAAAAGAGAGAGCTTTGGTGGCATTGCAAGTTTTTGTAGCAGTTGAAAGTCAAGTCCTTTAGACTTGTGGCTGGTGGATTCATGGATGAAGAGAACCTATTGCAACTAATAGGCAAGTCTTTAATCAATGAAATTATTATTATTTTTTTTTGCACAGCAAATAGAGTTTATTAGATAGAGTACAAGGGGTACTCCTGCCCATAATACAAAAACATGTACACTACTGAGCATCTACTGACTCTGCCTTAATTCCAAGTAAAGTCAATTAGTTGCTCAATGCAACCTATGAGATTACATTCGGGGGGTTCCATCAATACCCTGTTGATAATAAGGCTAATCCATCCAAACTTAGGACAAGACTCCATTTCTTATCCCAGTTAACTTTAAGACATGCCATAGGATTAGTTAAGCAATCAAAAAGATTGAACAAGCATCTAGATTTCCTTGTCTTAATCCACAAAAAAGAATTCAACTAAATGTGGTCAAGTAACTTATTTTTGTTGATGTCAGAATCTCAGAATATCTTCTGGTTTCTTGCGAGCCATATGGACCACACCACAATGTTCTAGATACAATCCCAGCCTTCCTTTACATGTGATTCCTTAGCCCATACCCCAAACTGCTCAAAGGATTTCTAGTAATCATTTTCCAAAGTAACTGTAATCCCCCACCATTTCCAAAGTAACTTTAATCAATGAAATTATTGAAACAATTAAAAGTTCAAAATGCTCATGTGTCTTCATATGTTGGGAGGACTTTTTCAATAATTTTGTCCCAAGTTCTCCATTGAAGAAGGCTTCATCTAAGAATATTATATGGGCTTGTAAGAGAAAAAAAGGAAATTGAGACATTGGATTAGGTGAATGATTCTCTCTTAATTGATGAAATGACATACAATGAGAAGAGGACTATTGTATGTCAAAATCCCCGCTCTCTCCTACAAGCTAGTTAAAGAAGTGTGAATGCCTCATAGTTTGAGATGCTCATAGTGACTTTCTTTCTACTATTATCGCTTTGTTTGTGCTCATACAGCAATTACATGGTAATTCATGGATATAAATGACTCTCTTTACTTATTTGTTTATATCCATTATTGATATAGTTTAAGTTTGTGTCTACTATTGTATATAATGATTTAGTTTTAAACTATATTTACCCTAATATAGAGATTTCATGTAATCTTGACTTTGCCTTATTAATAAAATCTCTATTTTTCATAAAAAATTTTGATTCTTTAAGGAGGTTAATGAAGGCATAATTCTTCATGAATTCTTTAATTCCATTGTGAATGGCTTGCCTTTCACTAGACCAAAAAGAGATTAGTTTTAAGATATCCACAAGTTAAACTAAGAATACCTTAACTACTAAACAAAAAATAAAAATTTCTACTAACAAAAGAAAAAGCCATTGATCATTTCAAAAGAAAAAGAAATACTTCAATCCGTTACAAAATTTATCTCTTCTACATCCCATCACTTATTTCTAGACGTATAATTACCATACCAAGCAAAAACTGAACGCCTCCCAATTCAAGAATCTCAGTGCTCAATCGACACAGCAAAAAGCACATGCAAGAAAAGTTTAAAACCCATCTTCCCTATAATCCCTTCAAACAAATTAATTCAATCCAATTCAGAAATTTATGTTTTAGAGAGTCAAATTGGCTGAAGAAACTCTAAAGCACTCGAGTTCACACACGAGCGCACACATGTTAACAGTATAGAAAAAATCAAAGCACAAAACGCTTAATCCATGCGCCCCAAAAGCGAAACCAAATGTTGGTCGGTGTCCCCTCAAAATTTATTTCTCTGAAAATTTTGCATTATTCTCCTAATCTATTAACTTAAAAGAATAATTAAAATTAATTTATTGGATTAAAGAATTATATCAGTTGCATGGGACTCATGTCATGGATGTTTGGTAGGCTGCCACTTCTGTGAGCTTTACAAGGTTTTCTAGGCTTTTGGACTTTAGCTACAAATGGAAAACTGCCTACTCACTCACTGAAGGGAATCTCTACTGTACAATTTTGACAGCTCTTCTTTTTTAAATCAATTATTCTTAGTACAACTGGAACTGTCACTTCTCATTTCTCTTATGAACTTGACTGACTTGTTGTGTTGATCTATATACCTACTTTTTACCTTATAAAATTTTGTTTTATAATTTAAATT